TCGACTCAAAAGTCACCTCGTTACTATGGCACACGACATTTTCACTGCAAAAGGACTTGAGCTGTATACCACGAAACAATCAGCAAGGAAACTGCAGAAGCGCCGGGCAGCATTTTCACAATCGGCTAAGGATCACCCGATCCTGTCTATTCCGGATCGTCAACAAAACCGAGCGTTTATCAGATAACTCTTGAGGCGCCTCCAACCCGGATCGCCATCAAAGACGAGCGTCTATCAGATCGCGACATCAAACCGTCTCATCCGTTCGTCTCATCAGATCGCCCAATCAAAGTCTATTATCGGAACGTCTTACCATGAACTGCCACTAACGGGAGAACCACTCAGAGCCTCCCCACGACTCGAAGAACCCGGGAGTGAACTATAGGGGAACCAAATCTTCGCATGAACACTCACGAGTGGAAAATCGCGGTTCTGTAAAGTCGAGTAAAAAATAATCGAATGGACTATTGAGCTGGTTCCGGGTCGTCTCACCATGAACATCCACGAGCGGGAACACGCGCGGCTTTACTAATATACTCCAAGAAACTACTATACTTACTCCTCGAATCGTCTCACCATGAACATCCAAGAGCGGGAACACGCGCGGCGCTGACGACGCCAGCAACCGCGCGAATCCCGAGGCTTGCCTTCGCGACAGCATGGTTACAATCGTGACGGCTTATAACGGAGAGTCCGCGAGGCGAGAATGTCTGGAAGGACGAGGCCAGCGACAGGAGTCCAAGTGGGTGATGCGGGGTGCTGAGAGGTGTTGTCGTCAGGCCACGAAGCTCAGAGATCAAGCGCGGATTCCCGCTTGTGATCGCTCCAGGAGCTCAGGATACGCGCTGGCTCCACGGAGGGAAAAGCGGCAAGCCCACTACAGTAAATGGACTAAGGGCGACGTCAGGTTGTGCACTTTTTGTTCGCTCTCTGCGGTCAACTTCGTTTCGTCACGGTGAAAAACGGTAAACAATGAAAACCGCTTTCCACCGTGTAGAACCGTCCTGAGCCACTATACAAGAACTGTGGATGTGTGAGAATTGTACAACCTGACGTCGCCCTAATGCTGAGCTGACCTAGGCCCTGTTCGGGAGCAAGAGAGGAAGAGCAGAACCAGATCCAGAGGGTCGATTTTACTAGGCTCGGAAGCCCAAAAATCGCTTGCGACCCCCTTGCGACCATTTTAGTGACCAAACCTCGAGGTTTGGAGACATCAATCATCTTCTCCTCTGCAGCGGCTCGAGATTCCGAGGCGCTGCCCCTACAGTCCATTGACTGCACAGTAATCACAGGCAATTGTTTGCTCACTTTCTCCTCGCCATGCCCTGGCGAGGAGAAAGAGAGGATCAGTACTCAAGAAAACTGGGTGGGCATCTCTGATTCATCATCAGGATTACCCAGGGCAGACATTGTACGAGAAAGCCCTAACACATTCATCTGAGTTTTATTGTTGAAGGTGTTTTTTATTTGGGTGGAGCAAGGGTTGCTTCGGTTTAGAAAATACGTTTTGGGATGGAGAGGAAATGTGAAGTTGAGAGTTCCGATGAGATGGTAGTTTCGAATTGGCATCTTGACCACCGGCTTGCGGTGGTTGTCGTTCTTGATCAAATTGGGGCGTTGACTATGCACATGTCTGTCATTTTCTCCAGCTGGCGAATCTGATTGCACAGCTGTCGCCACTGTTCAATCATGCAACTGGTGTGTTGTCGTTATTCTTCTTCAGGTTCGGTACAGAGCAGCATGCTCATCCTCTGTTTCGGGGCTCCCGAACAGGGCCCTAAAAAGCGATGTAGGGTCGAAGGATACTACACTCAATGCCCATTGCAAGAACACCCGGTAGCGGGCGCCATGTGCGTGAAACGAGTTTTAGCTTTCACTTACTTTCTCTAAGGAAAATTCCTTTTGCACCAGGCGCTCGTTTGGACCAAGTCGTCACTTGGACCAGGCGCTCGCTTGGACCGCGTCGCAACTTGGACCAGGCACTCGTTTGGAACAAGTCGTCGTTGGACCAGGCGCTTGCTTGGACCAAGCTGTCGCTTGGAACACGCGCTCGCTTGGACCAACTCGTCGCTTGGATCAGGCGCTCGCTTGGACCAACTCGTCGCTTGGATCAGGCGCTCGCTTGGACCAACTCGTCACTTAGACCAGGCACTCGCTTAAGCCAAGTCGTCACTTGGACCAGGCGCTCGCTTAGACCAAGTCGTCACTTGGATCAGGCGCTCATTTGGAACAAGTCGTCATTTGGACCAGGCGTTTGCTTGGGCCAAGCCATCACTTGGAACGGGCACTTGCTCGGACCAAGTCGTCACGTGGACCAGGCGCTCGCTTGGACCAAGTCTTCGCTTGGACCAGGCGCTCGCTTGGACCAAGTCGTCACTTGGGCCAGGCGTTCGCTTGGACCAAGGCATCACTTGGACCAGGCGCTCGCTTGGACCAATTCGTCACTTCAGACCCTCGCTTGGACCAAGGCGTCACTTTTAATAGTTTGCCTCATACTAAAAAAAGTACCCTCCAAAAAAAACAGTTTTTTTTTTAAGTCAGCCCTGGTGGTGGGAGACTTGTGGTGTTGGGAGTATGGGATGTGTGTAACAGCTCTGTGTTCACTCCTGTGTATTGTACTGTGCTGTACTTGTTGGAAACTGTCTATGTTTGATGACGCGCTTCTTCAATCAAGTCAACGCAATGCCGCCACACCACAAATGTGTGCAGCAGTGTTACGATAGGAGCTAAGGCAAGCCATAGCTAGGATTAGGAACGAGGCTTACGAGAGGGAAGAGGGATTTTACTAATGAGAAAAAAAAAAAAATAGTGCAAGGGGAGGTGGCAAACGGGGGGTATACCACCAAAAGAGAAAATTAAATGATACTACACTAATAGTTTCCATGCAAATACATATAAATATAATTGATCATTCTCGCTTAACTGCATGCAACACTAGCTAGTGTAGGGGTGTTTTACCAACAGTGCTGCAATCATCATGCAGCAACTTGAACCACTGTGGTTGAACCCCTACAGCAGGTGCTCGGTCGCGGTTGAACCCCCTCCAACAGGTGCTGGTGTGCGCGACAAGGGGTGACCACGTCCAGAAACGACGGATAGTAACGTAGCGAGAAATAAGACGACGAGTGGAGCACAAGTGGGAGATGAGAGAATGAAGAAAAATGAGAAGTAATGCAGCAGAAGGTATATAGAGGAGGACGAACGAAATAAGAGACATGAATGGAGATGCTCCCATCCCCCTCAAACCTCTCCCCTCCCCCCCCCCCCACAACAACAAGTGCTGCAACAAGAGGAAAGAAGAGAGAAGAGAGGGACGGCTGTTGGCTGGTCACACCCGCCACCTCCACATCTCCCCCCCACCCCCCATTGTGGGAGTCGTGGAAGGGAGGGGAAGGGGGGGGGGGGGGGGGGATACGCTGTTGCTGGCGCTAGCGCTGGCAGATGGTGCTGGCGTTGGCGACGGGCGCTGGCACTGGCGCACGGGACCTAGAGCATCTGCGTGCAGCTGCGGAACTGTACGCGGCTTCTAGGCCCTCATATTAGCTTTCGGGCTATCTGATTTGTCAGAGTTAATACACATTTTTAGGGCGTGTAAAATCGCCACGCACATGCGAATTTTGCTCATGGCCAGATTTTCGGCCATTAGGGTACTTAGGGGTTCAGGTACGAGACAGCTTGGTACTTAATGGTTCAAATGGGTACTCTCGCTAAAACGGCCCGACGGATGGTGGCCGAATTTTTTGGGTTCGGCGATTTTACACGCCCTTATAGTATGATCAAGTAGACTTGGTACAAAAAAAAAAAAAAGCTGGCATTTCATAGTTCAAGAGTATAAAAGTCTGATAAACCAGAGTTCAAATCGATAGTGAAGCTAGCTGATCAACCTCAAATATGGCGCCCCGCAATTATCGGGGGATGTAGAGGCATGGATTAACTAGGTATATGTAACGTAATGTGCTGAATTGGTCGGTATTGTGGAGCTTGCGAGCTGGTAAAATATTCCCTGTGATTTTCTGCGCTAAATATACGCTCAGTGCTTAAGGCCCCACAGAGCACTGCGGCACCTAATACCAGAGGTAAAGTATAGTGAGCTGAGCTGATTTCCTAAACATGTGTGAGTTTCATAGTACATCTCAACTCAAACCTTACAGCAAGAATGCCTCCTGTACAAGCGAAGCAATTCCAAGCCACATGCCGCCATGTGCGCTAGTTGCTCAACACCTTCCTCGAAGCTCTGTTCTGAACGTGCTTTGAAATTTATGACGGGTGCAGTTTGTGCTAACATCCCATCACAGTCAGCACGCATGTGATCCCCGCCAGCCAAACGAACTGAATCGTCACGCAAATGCACGGGCCTTCCTACTGGCTGCACCGACTTGCATGACAATTGGAAGCTTTTTACTCGGTAAGTCGGACACGTGACACACGCAATATCCCACCGGACCTCAAACCAGACCTCGCACGTTGCCACGGAGGTTCAGGTCAAGCCAGAAGCAGTACAGTGAGGGGGGTAAGAGGGTCTCCCCTTCGAAAATGTCGCGCCGGAATCTGACCACCTCCGTGTCATGTCACTCCCCTCCCCAACCTACCCCGGCCACATTGTTCACCTTCGATAGCTTCGCGCCCTTCCGCTAATGGCGCGAGGCATTTCTTCCGCCCGCGCAGCAGAAACGCGTTGCCGGCGGAAACACGGGGAGGTTGGATGTGGCGCTTGTATTTGTCATGCGCAAACACGGGTGATTGGTTAGGGGGAGGACGGAGAGCTGCCCTTCCGCTGCGGTAACAACCTTCGCCCGCGTCGCACATTGCGTGGTGTGACGTGCCATGGCGTTATATATTGTTCTGCAAAGTTCATGGTAACTCATTCTGAGCAGAGTCCGGAGAATTCGATAGTGAGATTCTGATCCTAAGTACAGCTGTCATTCAAGACTTCTACCTGTTGCGACCACTGCTAACTACTAGTACTAGTACCACTCAACGTTGTGTTCAGGTAAAATCACATGACGACACTAATTTCCTCCGTCTCCCAGCAGCAGCGGATTGACGCTGAACCTAGATTCCACCGGGAAGTGGTCGAAGCGTTTCGCCTTATCGACACCAATGGCGACGGTCGTATTTCCTACGAAGAGCTCGCAGCTCTCCTCAATCGTCTTGGGATTGACGAAGGTCTAGCCGTCGTTCACGATATCATCGGCGACGCGGATCGTGACGGCGACGGTCAGATCGACGTTGAAGAATTTTTTATTGCTGCCCGTGGAGCTCCGTGTAACTGCTGCGTTACCGGCTCGCCTTGCTGGCATGAAAACGAGGATCTGCAGAAGGTTTTTACGCTCTTTGATTGTGACAATAGCGGGGACATCACACCGGAGGAGCTACAACAGGCGATTTGGAAGATAAACGGCGAATCTGTCAGCCTTTTGGATTGTCAGCGAATGATCGCGAGAGTTGACTCTAACGGGGATGGGATGGTCGACTTTAAAGAGTTTCAGCGTATGATGGATGGAGTGTTTGGCTGAAAAGCATGGCGCTGCATCCGTAGCTGAGACGTTCTCAATTTTTGAAGACCCAGCGGCACCACCGTCAATAAGAAACGATTCCATGTTGACAGAACCGTCTACCTTAGCGGAATAAATGCCAGGGGCCTCTGTTTTAATTCACCCGTGACGCGTTTCCGTTCTGTTTTCAGATTCTAGATGAATTTGGTCTCAATGTTCTGATTCTTTGTTTGCGGAGCTGGCTGGAACCCCTATCTTGTAGTTTCAATTCAATGTCCAAGGAGGTGATCTCTTGTACAGCAAGTTTCCACGAACTGAAATTCCATTCAAGCTGTAACCACACCTAACCTCTTTAAAACATGCTGTGCTACCAGGAAAATCTCTGTATGGAATGCCTCACGCCCCTTCCTTCAACCAATGGTTATCGTGTTCATGAATGAAACTATCTCACTGCTTTCCCCTCTGTCCGTGTGTGCCAGGTAGTCTCATCACACAACATAAAATTGGATGTGTTGTTTGCCAAAATCTCTGCAGGTAAACCGCCAGATCTTGTAGTTCGAGAGAAAACACTTGTGATAAATAGCCGTAGGTGCATGGGCACAGAAACCTAAGTTGGTTATAGATAGAGCAGAAAGGAATTTTTTATTTGAGTTACGGTAAGCTAGCCGAACAGGACAAGGTGTCTACAATCGAGGCCTTCCTTGGAGAGAACGCTAAGCAGGAACAGAGTACTCTTAGGCACCTCATAACACAGCAGGAGTCGTCTAGGCGAGCAGCGAAAGGGGGAGAAACAGAGCAGATGCAGCCAGAGTGCTTGAGTCAGGAGTTCAGAAGCTGGCAAGTTGATATGCGGGACTGATATGTGTGGCTAGATTGCAGGAAGAATGTTGATTCTAGATAGCAGGGAGGGTGGTGGTGGCAAGTGGTTGAACACTACAGCCGAGAAGGCGGAGCGGAACGGAGCGTCTCGTGGATCTGCGATTGCAAGGAGAGAGCTTGTGCTGTAGTCGACTTGTTTGGGGCGATGGTTGGGGCTAGGATTTCAGGAAGAATGTTTGGGCTGGGATAGCAGAGAGGGTGTTGGGGCTAGATGGCAGGGAGGGTGTTGGACATGCGGAGTGTTTGGATGGTGGCAAGCAGGCCCTCGAACACAAGGGCTAGGTTTGCAGGAAGAGGGTTGGGGCTAGGATTGCAGGGAGGGTTTCGGGGGGCTAGAGTTTAGATTGCAGGGAGGGTTTCGGGGGGCTAGAGTTTAGATTGCAGGGAGGGTGTTGGACCTGCGGAGTGTTTGAATGGTGGCAAGCAGGCCTTTGAACACCACAGCAGAGTAGGCAGAGCGGAAGGAGTCGAGCAGAGCAGGGGAGGGGTCGGAGGCAACGCGGGTGAGGCAGAATTCGAGGAAGCCGGACTGGAAGGCAGAGGGGCTCTTGAGCTGCTGCTGGTAACGCTGTAACCACAGGTGCGCCATGACTTGGCACATGGCCTCCTCGATTTCTGAGGGCAGAGCGGAGAATGCACCTGTGAGGAGGGAACAAGGGAAGTGAAGAGAGGAGAGGGGCTCTTGAGCTGCTGCTGGTAACGCTGTAACCACACCTGACACACGGCCTCCTAGATTTCCGAGGGTCGCGCTGAGAAGCCACCTGTGGAGATAGGGAGGAAGGAGCAAAGCGAGAGGGGAGGGGCTGAACTCAGGTACTACCGGGAGCATCTCTCAGGATAATAAGAATTGTAAACGTCACAAAGCTCACAAGAGCACACACTTGATCAGCACTGACTGCACCGAATGAGGCAAGGGACGTACCATCGAGGAGGAACCAAGCGTGCATGAGCTGATTGGCTATGACTGCCCCGGCCAGAGGACTGATGGTGAGGGTAGAGGGGAGGGGTACAGGAGTTAGGGGACAGGGGCGAGGGGGACAGGGGCGAGGGGGACAGGGGCGAGGGGGGCAGTAATGAGGAGAGGCAGAAACCATCGAGGAGGAACCAAGCATGCATGAGTTGATTGGCTATGACTGCCCCCGCCAGAGGTCTGATGAGGGGGAGTGGGGCGAGGGGCACAGGTGTGGGGAGGACAGGGGCGAAGGGCACAGTAACGAGGAGAGACAAAAACCATCGAGGAGGAACCAAGCATGCATGAGTTGATTGGCTATGACTGCCCCCGCCAGAGGTCTGGTGAGGGGGAGCGGGGCGAAGGGCACAGGGGCGGGGAGGACAGGGGGGAAGGGGGCAGGGGCGGGGAGGACAGGGGCGAAGGGGGCAGGGGCGGGGAGGACAGGGGCGAAGGGGGCAGGGGCGGGGAGGACAGGGGGGAAGGGGGCAGGGGTGGGGAGGACAGGGGGGAAGGGGGCAGGGACGGGGAGGACAGGGGGGAAGGGGGCAGGGGTGGGGAGGACAGGGGGGAAGGGGGCAGGGACGAGAAGAAAGCATACGAGGAGCATGATGGGAGGAGTGGAAGGGAAGACGTGAGACAGGTTTGCAAGGGGGACAGGAAACGGGAGCAGATTGAGGAAGGACGGGGATGGGTAGGTTGGTGTGGTGTAGTTGGTGGTCAGGATTGAAAGGATGCATGCATGGTGCATGCATGGTGCATGTTGTGATCCAGCACATTGTTGCATGCATGGTGCATGTTGTGATCCAGCACATTGTTGCATGCATGGTGCATGTTGTGATCCAGCACATTGTTGCATGCATGGTGCATGTTGTGATCCAGCACATTGTTGCATGCATGGAAGGTGAATGGCTGGTGAGAGCATACGCTGGGAGGCCGTAGAGAATGGCGATGCCCGAGATGGCAGTGGAGTTGGCATATGCGAGTGGCAGCATGCACAATGTGCTCACATGTAGGCAGGTCAGTGCATGCACTCACATAGACAAAGGCATGCCAATGGAACGTACGCTGGGAGGCCGTAGAGAATGGCGATGCTCGAGACGGCAGTGGAGTTGGCATACGCGAGTGGCAGCATGCACAATGTGCTCACATGAAGGCAGGTCAGTGCATGCACACACATAGACGAAGGCATGCCAATGGAACGTACGCTGGGAGGCCGTAGAGAATGGCGATGCTCGAGACGGCAGTGGAGTTGGCACACGCGAGTGGCAGCATGCACAATGTGCTCACATGAAGGCAGGTCAGTGCATGCACACACATAGACGAAGGCATGCCAATGGAACGTACGCTGGGAGGCCGTAGAGAATGGCGATGCCCGAGACGGCAGTGGAATTGACATGCGTGAGTGCCTTGGCTTCATGTGAGATGCCTGCAAACGCCGCTGCTGTTGACCCTGGTGCCCGTACGACCTGGAAAGAAGGGAGAGGAAAGAGGGTAGGAATGGGAGAGGGCCAGAGACGCATCAATGAGATAACAGACATCAGAAGTTTAGCTACAAAATGAAGGAGGGCCACTTTTGAACGGTGATAGGGTTGACTCAGACCTTACATGGGGAAACAGTGCTTCAGATAGTACGAAGATAGTACGGAGATAGTACGGAGATAGTACGGAGATACTATGCAGATGAGACGGAGATGATATGAAGATGACATGGAGATGGTAAGAGATGATACGCATATAAATATGTGATGGCACTGAGATGACACTGAGATGATATTGAGATGGTACTTGGAGGATACTGAGGCGGTACCTAGACAATACTGGGAACTTACTGTTTGGATGGTGGTTTCTTGGGTGAGGCACACTCCAGGTACCACTGCTAGGCGAGATGAACCTTCTTCTACTGAGGAGGTAATGATACTGAGAATGATAATAGGACTCACTGTTTGAATGGTTGTTTCTTGGGTGACGCACACTCCAGGTACCACCGCCAGGCGAGATGAGCCCTTCGTTACTGGGATAATGCTGAGTTGGTACTGAGATGGGACTAAGGCGGTGCACATAAGAAACTGAGGCTCACTGTTTGGATGGTTGTTTCTTGGGTGAGGCACAGTCCAGGCACCACTGCGAGGCGAGATGAACCCTGGTGGGTTAAGAAACGCCATGCAATTCCATGCCATGTCATGTCATCCCATTCCATGCCATGCCATGCCATGCCATGCCATGTCATCCCATCCCATTCCATTCAATGCCATGCCATACCATGCCAAGTGAAGCAGAAACCGTGCAGACAGGCACACTCGAACCCATGAAACCAGCAGACATGCAGGCATGCAGGAATGCAGGGACGCATGAAGGGATGTATGTGGTGAGTTGTGAACGGATCTTCACATGTATAGGGAGCGAAATTATGATAGTAAAGTTCACGTGGTTTTGAGACGTCTCAAAACAACTCTTCATGTGGTTATCACGTGAACAGATCTTCACATGTATAGGGTGTTTTGAGACGTCTCAAAACAACTCTTCATGTGGTGAGTTGCGAACGGATCTTCACATGTATAGGGAGCGAAATTATGATAGTACAGTTCACGTGGTGTGTGCAGGCCAGACCAGGAACGAATGTGGATCAGGGATGCATTCATGTGCATGCCACATGGGGAGGGGATCAGGAACGTGCGGCATGCCACATGGGGAGGGGATCAGGAACGTGAGGCATGCCACATGGGGAGGGGATCAGGAACGTGAGGCATGCCACATGGATCGCACCTCCCCACCACTTCCTCTCATTCATCCTAAATCTCTAACACCCCATTCTCCCCCCCTCCCCGCCCCCTCACACCCTCACCCCCTCTCTAACAACCTCCGTTCTCCACCTTCTATCCCCCCTCTTCAACAACCCCCCCCCCCCCCCCCCCCCCCCCCCCCCCGCTCCCGAGACCCCCACCACTCTCACCTGTCTCTCGCCCTCAGCAGCAGCTTGTAACGCCGCCACGTCAGCGGTAACCACCGGCAGTTCGTCGCCCATCACGCCCACTGCACCCCGCAGCACCGCTCCCAACCCCACCTCCTCGAAAAAGATCAACACAGAGGCGAACAGGGGGCCACATTCAGAGGAGCCTACTACTAGAGTCCCCAGGGAGGAGGAGGAGGAGGAGGAGGTGAGGGCGGAGAGGGCGGAGCCAGGGGGAGAGGGCCAGGAGCAGGTGTTACAATCGGGGCAGAGCGTGCGGTTACCGCCTATGTCGACCATTGTGCATGTGGTGGGCTGCAGGAGGGAGGAAAACGACGGTCGGAGAATGGGGGGGGGATAGAGAGCAAAGGGGAGAGGGCAACAGGAGGAGGGGGGAATGATGAGGCGTCAAGAGAGAGAGGGGCATCAATAGATGGGCACGGTCCTCTTGCTCAATAGATGGGATGAGCATGGTCTTTCAAAACGAGCATGGTTATCCCCATGGCGGCCATTGGGCCTGTGCTGTGCTGTTGCAAGGGAGGGAAGTAATGGAGGTGCAATAAGCTGAATTCTGTCAATAACTGTCAAGTTCTGTTGGATTCTTCTGGATCTTCTGACTGACTGACGAACTGACTGACAGCACCTGAAGGCGAGTGCAGGCGGAGCAGAGGGGAGAGCCATCCGTTGTTGGGCTGTGCTTGTGCTTGAGCCACCAGTCAACCGGATTTTAACCCAGTCACTTGTGTGATAAGTGGGGGAGAGAGACTAATGAGTTCTACTGACTGACTGACAGCACCTGAAGGCGAGTGCAGGCGGAGCAGAGGGGAGAGCCATCCGTTGTTGGGCTGTGCTTGTGCTTGAGCCACCAGTCAACCGGATTTTAACCCAGTCACTTGTGCAATAAGTGGGAGAGAGAGACTAATGAGTTCTACTGACTGACTGACAGCACCTGGAGGCGAGTGCAGGCGGAGCAGAGGGGAGAGCCATCCGTTGTCGGGCTGTGCTTGGCGCAGTGCTTGGCGTGCCACAGGTCGTTGAGGCGATACTCCACCATGCCAGACTCACTGGGAGCGATCTGTGGTGAGGGGATCAGGGGGGAAGGGAGTAGCAGCAGGCACAATTGTGCCAGGCCTTTGGGTGCCACAAGTGCCACAGGTCGTTGAGGCGATACTGTACTCCACCATGCCAGACTCGCTGGGGGCGATCTGTGGAAGGGCACAAGGGAAGGGAGAAGAGGGTGTAGGTGGGGAAGGGGAGGACGCGCTGTGTTTGGCGCAGTGCTTGGCGTGCCACAGGTCGCTGAGGCCATACTCCACCATGCCAGACTCGCTGGGGGCGATCAGCAGGGCTCACAGAGGGGGGACATGCATTTATGCCATCAGGAAAGCGAAGGGGGCGATATCCATTAGCGGCACTTACAAAAGTGAATCTGTTTTTTTAGAATTCCCAAAAAGCAGATTAAGCGAAGAGGGGGATATCCATTAGGGGCACTTACATAAGTGTCGCAGACGTAGCACTTGGGGTGGAAGAGCTGGCGGTAGCACTCGGTGTGGTAAGTGTCGCCCTCCTTCACGGAACACTGCATAGAACACGACAGCAGTGAAAAGAACGTAACAGTGTCACAAGCAGCGCATTGAGAATGATCAGAACACACGTACGTATGAAGAACACCGAGGAGCGGAAACCATAGAGAGAAAACCATACAGAGAAAACCATGATGCAAGGGCCCTTCCATACCAGGAGGTGAGGAACCTGGGACAGGAGATCAAATTACTACCTCACTACCCAAAATCACTCACACCCCTCTCACTCCCTCACTCTGACTCTCCCTCACCTGCATCTCAGTGATGGGCAGGCGGCAGTGGCAGCACTTGAAGCACGCCGCATGCCAGTCACGGTTCAGAGCAATCAGGTACCTCCCAGAATCGATAGTCCGCTCACACGCCCCGCATATGCCGTGGCGCGAGGGTCTGTAGGGAGGGAGGGGCACATGAATACGTGCAGATGAGCAGGGAGGGAGGGTAACGAGCAATCAGCATCTGCCCCTCCTCCTACTCCACCAGCAGCAGCAGCGCAAACAGCACTATGGAGCGGGAGAGGACGGTCGAGGAGCTAAAACGCACGGTGGATGAGCGGGAAAGAACGGTCGAGGAGCTAAAACGCACGGTGGATGAGCCGGAAAGAACGGTCGAGGAGCTAAAACGCACGGTGGAGGAGCGGGAAAGAACGGTGGAGGGGCTGCGGTGCACTGTTTCCCTCCCGCTCCTCCGCCGTGCGCTGCAGCCCCTCAAACGTTCTCTTTCGTTCCTCCACTGTGCACCGCAGCCACTAGCAATCATTCACGTGGCGTGGAATCCCTTCATGGTGTCGCCAGCAGCACCAGCGCCCCACTTGCAGCATCCAACGCTCCTGTCCCTCCCCTTACACCAGCAGTATTACTCGCCTCCGCACTAGAAGTTACTCACATGGCATGGAATCCCTTCATGGGTGTAACCAGCACCAGCGCCCCACTTGTAGCATCCAAGCAAGCAACACGGTCCACGATACCCGAATACCTTCACAACCAGATCACTCACATGGCATGGAATCCCTTCATGGGTGTAACCAGCACCAGCGCCCCACTTGTAGCATCCAACGCTCCTCCCGCTCCCCCACCAGCAGCGGCAGCGGCACCAGCGGGCACGGGACCGTCCACCAGAGCGAGCAGGTCGACCTCCCCACATGCTATACTAGAGCAGTAATACTCACCACAGCACAAGCAATCACTCACGTGGCATGGAATCCCTTCATGGGTGTAACCAGCACCAGCGCCCCACTCGTAGCATCCAACCCCCCTGCCCCACCAGCAGCGGCAGCGGCACCAGCGGGTACGGGACCGTCCACCAGAGCCAGCAGGTCGACCTCCCCGTTGAGCTGCTTGGGCGCCACCGAATTCACCTTCTCCAGGAGAGACGCCTCTGACGTGCCAGTGTCGATGTCCTGCGGTTGGTAGTGGTTAGGGTTGGTGGTTAGGGGTGGAATGTGTTAGCAGCGGGGTAGTAGGTCGACCTCCTCGTTGGGCTGCTTGGGCGCCACCGAGTTCACCTTCTCCAGGAGAGACGCCTCTGACGTGCCGGTGTCGATGTCCTGGGGTGGTTGGGTGGGAGCGGGGGGAAGGGGAACATAGAGATCAGCAGCAGCAGCAGCAGCCGCAGCAGTGGGTACGGGACCGTCCACCAGAGCGAGCAGGTCAACCTCCTTGTTGGGCTGCTTGGGCGCCACCTGCTCTAGGAGAGATTTCCTGCATCCGTACCCAGCCCATCCAATCTCTCCCTTACAACCCCCACTACCTACTCACCAAAAGGCTGATTTCTTGCTGAAACGCCTTGGAAATGAGGTCATCGGCAGTGGGAGCACTGTAAAGCACCAGAGCGCCTGGCCCTGCATCTGTTCTCAGCCCCAACAAATCACCTTTCATGGATAGGAGGTCTGGTGGCGATGCAATGTCCATCCTTTCACCCTCCCTTACCATCCCAGCCCCCACTCACCAGTAGGCTGATCTCCTGCTGAAATGCCTTGGAGATGAGGTCATCAGCAGTGGGAGCAGAGTAGAGCACCAGAGCGCCCGGCCCTGCGCCTGTGCCCAGACCCAATAGATCATCTTCCATGGATAGCAGGTCTGGACGGGGGGAGGATGCGATGCCCATCCCTTCACCCTCCCTGACCATCCCCATTCCCCACTCACCAGTAAGCTGATTTCCTGCTGAAACGCCTTGGAAATGAGGTCATCAGCAGTAGGGGCGGAGTAAAGCACCAGAGCGCCCGGCCCTGCGTCTGTGCCGAGCCCCAATAGATCGTCTTCCATCGATAGGAGGTCCGGTGGTGGCGATGCTGCTGCTGCCGCCGCCGCTGCTGCCGCTGCTGCTGCTTCGGCCTCTGCTGCTGCCTCCTCCTCTGCCTTTTGGCGAGCTGAAGGGAAGGCGAAAGGGAGTAAGTGTGGGGGATTCCAGGGAGGGAAACAGAAGGGAGTGCAGGGAAATGAGATGGCTTGGGAGGAAGCAGTGTAGAGTCTCCAGCTCCCCTGTGAACAGTAACCAGTGATTTTTTGGTGTATGATGTGCGATAACTTTGATAAGGATGCATGTGTCACCTGTGTGCATGAGTGGCATATGCACATGCTCGTTGTGACTTCGTGTCTTTGTGTGTGTTGTATGTTGGTTCATGCCGGCAATTGCACCCATCTCACCTCTCTCCTCCTCCTCCTCCTCTCGTCGAATGCGCTCCGCCCTCTCCCTCTCCCGCGCCTCCTCCTCTTCCTTCTCCCGGTCGTATGGTCGATCCTGCACCCAACCAGGCCAGTCATTCCGAACCAACCATCCCAAGCCCATATCCCAAACATCCATGCAATCCGCAACAATACATTTCATGCCACGCCATGCCACGCCACGCCATGCTATGCCACACCATGGCACCCCATCACATGCCATGAGATGCTATCCCATGGATCCACAACGACAACCCACCAAGAATCATATCCATCATGGCAGCTCATGCATCCCGGAACAACGATTCAGGGCCAGCCATACCATGCGATGCCATCATGCCATGCCAGGGATCCACGACAACAACCCACCAATGATCACATCCATCATGGCAAATCATGCATTCCAGATCATGATCATCTATCATCATTCACGGGGTCAGCCATACACACAGCACATAGCTATCCGTTAGAGATCCGTTAAGAGGCCTGTCATCACTGACCGATAACAAAACACTGAGACTTGAATTCCGTGCGTAGTTAATGCCTTTGGCTCAACGCACCCTTGCATAGTCCTCATAGCCATATCGGATGCCCCGCTGTCATCACACCGCCTGCCATATCCTCCGCCATTCAATTCGCCATACCCCCCCCCCATACCCCACCCTCCCCCCATACCCCCCCCCCCACCCCCCCCTCCCTCATGCCTTCCGCCATACCCTTTTTAAGTTCTCAAAAGTGAGTCCAAAACGCACCCGTGCATAGTCGTCGTAACCATATCGGCTGCCCCGCTCGTCGTCATACCGCCCGCCATACCCCCCGCCGCCATACCCCTGCCCCTGGCCTCCCCCGTCCTGCAACTGGGGCGCGCGGTGGTCGTATCCGGGAGGCTGGGGCGCGGGGACGGGGGAAAGGGGAAGAGTGAAGAGGGGAGGGGGGAAGAGGGTGGGAGTGAAGAGGGGAAGGGGAGGAGGGTAAGGGGAAGCAGTGGCGCAGGGAATTGGTCAAGGAGAAGGAGAAGGGACAGCGCGCACAAGGGGGAAACGTGAATAGCGGGGTTGGAAGGGAGTCGGGAGGAACGAGTAAACAGGAGAAAAAGAGGGGAAAATTCGATGCGAGACATGCGGAAGAGAAGGAGGGGAGGGGAAGGGGAAAGCGGGGGGAAGGGGAGGCGAGAAGAAGGGGGATGGAGGGGGAAGCGGGGGGGTGGGGAGGTGGAGGGGGACCAGGTACACACGGCAGCATCGCACCGAAAAGAAAGCGAGAATGGTAACCAGATACGTAACGCCAGTACGTAACCGGGTGCGTACGTACCGCCGTACTGGACCATTTGAGCCACCAGGGCGATTCATCTTGCATGCCAGAGAAGCGGTACGTACGGCCGACGCCCTCGTCCATGTCATCTTGAGGTAACGGCGCGTGCTGATGCTCCAACGCACTCATCACGAACCTGCAAGCACGGGAGAGGAGGGAAAGAGGAAGAAAGAGCACTACAAATTTTAAGACGACTCAGAAATGCATTTTCAGTTGTATTTGTCGACCATGGATGCACGGCATGGATAGACGGAACAGATGGAGCGTCCAATCACTGATAAGAAATTCGAACGATCGGACCGAACAAGCGACCACTGAAGGGAACGTTCACTACAGGGAGGCGATACGCATGCTTCTTGCGTGGCATATTGAACGCCACATTTCACAGCCGCGTGTTTTGTAATGTCTTTTGTAATAACGCCTGACATTTACTAATGACACATGATACTGATACTCGAATGTTATATCATCTATTATCAAATTGATCGCTGCTCAAGATGCACTATAAGATCGCCTGAGAATCCATTCTTTTTTCATGACTGCGGGACGACAACAGGTTGATGTTGCAGACTTGTCATTGCAGATTATCAGGCCTATAGACGTGTCAATATGACTGAATTCACTAGTTGCTGACAGTGAAAACTTAGGAAACCGAATTGTCTTTAAACGTAGTCTGATCATTGAAAAAAACGTACCTTCGGAACCACGACGTGACATTGCCGACCACTTCGTCTACTTGCTCCATCGTCGCCGAATCAGCGAAACGAATCAAGACAGCGATAAGTTATTATATTCGTTTACTCTACGTATAACTAAATGTATATGATCCTCTAAGGTTATAGCTTGCAGTGTCTAACCGAGTCTTTCGAAGAAAAAGTGGGCATGTTGCGGATCAGAATGGGCCGAAGTCCAGAGTGGGCTTAGTAAACTAATGCGACACAGCAACAAGATTCTTAACACGTTTTCGGCCTGACTCCGTAAATGCACGCACATCCAATCCTAGACCTCTACTGTCTCCTTATTCCGTCTTACTAAGATTCACGATCTAAACACTCATTGTAGGTATCAGCCCTACTCACAGTAGGAAATCCTAGAATGGCTCTGCACGAAATGCCCCTGATTTCAAGCTAAGAAATTTCACCAACTTCTAGGCGGGTCTTGGGATTGTTGTACATACACCATCTCCTCTCAACCAACCAACCAATCCGGGCAGGCGACTGCCGCAGCCCTTGGGGCAAAGGAGGTTGGGGCAGCGTCTGGGCTGCGAACTTCGCCTGTATTTTCGCACCTCACGGCTGCTTGGCGCGCTATGGTTGGGCGAGGAGCGTAAGACGGGGAGCGCAGGTGTGGAGCGCAGGTCTGCGCTGAATTCTCGAGGTTGCGGGAGGTGCGCGTAGCGGATGCTGCGGGAGGCTGAGCTGGCAGGAGGTTGGCGGACGAATGGCGGAAAAAGGGGCAGGCTTTTCTGTAAGAGCAGGTGATTACGAAAGTGTGCGACTGGGCAGGCGAGCCCTAACTGGGGCGAAGTTTTGAGAGGTGTGACATGTTTGATGTGCTGCCGCCAGTTTGCGAGCGACAACGTCGGCCCTCTCCCGAGTTTGGCGCTGAAATTGTGAAGCCTGTAACAGCTTCGTCCACTCCACCGCACTTCTTCGCCACATCCTTCTCTTTGACCGTTCCGTTTCAATCTACCGCACGAAAAAGCCTTCAACTTGATAAGAGGAAAACAGAAATTTGGGGTGTGCGGCAGTCCTTGAGCATTGTCCACTAATCTTGACCAAGTTCCAAGCAGAAATGCAAAAATAATACTTCTTCTTGTATTGTTTCTTCTACAGTGACTTGTATAGTAGTTGTTTATACGAGTAGTGCAACATTGTCACTATTCACGTGAATTGCAGGAGAGAGCAGCAGCAATCAATCACATGAGAGCGCAGTCACTCTGAGTTGACCCGCCCCTGCGCTGTCCCCTGCCCAGAGGGGTTGGCGGGGAGGAAGCGGTGTGATGCGGTGCAGTGCGGTGCGAGGGGGATCGTGGGTGGGTGCTGCCCTGCTTGGTGAACGGTGGGGGTTGGGGAGGAGGGAGCGTGGGGGAGACGGAGGAAGGGAGGGAGGGGAGAGAGGGAGGGAGGGGAGAGGGGGAGGGAGGACAGTAGGGTGTCAACCAAGGGAGAAGCAAGCATGGAAGCATTGGGGGGGAGGACCGTAGCAGCCATGTACAAAGGTGTAACTGAAAGGCCCCTCTTTCCTCCCACATATAACCCTTTAGAGAACGCATACACCTCACACCTCTCGTCCTTCCCCATTCCTCTTCCCCTCCTCTCCTTTCTCCCTTCTCCCTCCCTTGCCTCCCCCCTCCCACTCCCCTCACTTCATTGATCCTGCATGACTTACAAATATGAGTCCAGTCGCTGCTTCCCACGTACTGCCCCACCCACTGCTGCTTTCCCTCCCACCACCACCACCGTCGCTCCTCACTCCTGATACTCCTCGTCCCTCCCTCCTCCCCTGAACCCCCCCATTTATCCCGCATGACTTACAAATATCAGCCCAGTCGCTGCTTCCCACGTGCTGCCCCACCCACTGCTGCTTTCCCTCCCACCACCACCACTGTCGCTCCTCACTCCTGATACTCCTCGTCCCTCCCTCCTCCCCTGAACCCCCCCATTTATCCCGCATGACTTACAAATATCAGCCCAGTCGCTGCTTCCCACGTGCTGCCCCACCCACTGCTGCTCTCCCTCCCACCACCACCACCGTCGCTCCTCACTCCTGATACTCCTCGTCCCTCCCCCCTTCCCCCTCGCCCCCTCCCCCTGCCCCTCCCCCCTAACTGATGCACATCTATCGGCCCTCCTGCCCCTCCCACTGCTCCCTCCCGCCCCCACGCCCCTCCCCCGCTTCCCCCCCTGGTTCCCCCCCCTTCACTGCGCACCTGCCCTACCCACCCTGATCTCCCCCCCCTGCGTCCGCCCCTCCCCCTCCCCCCTGCCTGCTGCCTCTCTGCTGCTTCCACCTCCTGCTGCTGCAACATCAGGGCCAGTTGAAGGTCGGAACTGGTAGAAGGGGAAAAGAAACAGGAAAATGGCGTTTGGGAATAAGTAGCTGCTTTCACAAACCACAACTGCTGCTGCTGCAACATCAGGGCCAGTTGAAGGTCCAGACTGGTTGAAGAGGAGAAGAAGCAACAGGAGAAGGGAAGTGACAGGAATAGGGCCTTTGGGAATAAGGAGCTGCTTTCACACATCACACATCCTGCTGCTGCAGTGCAACAGCAGGTCTGAACCACTCAGTGGTGTGGTACGTGTGAGGTGTGAAGTGTGCGATGGGAGACTCACTGGAATGCGTCCAGGCCTGGCACCAACTGCAGTGCAATCCCTCCAAGCTTGGAGGTACAGTAAATGCAGAACAAAAGTGTGCCTGAGTGACTGCATGGGTTGGTGTTGTGTGGTGTGATGTCGTGTGATGTCGTGTGGTGTGGTGTGGTGTGGTGTGGTGTGGTGTGGTGTGGTGTGGTGTATCTGCGGCCTACTGGTGTGGGATGGGAGACTCACTGGTATGCGTCTATGCCTGGCAAAAGCTCCAGTCCCTCCACGCCCTGAAAGGAGAAGCAGGCAGAAAAAGAAGGGGGGGAATGGCAGCATGTGTCAAGGTCTGGTGCACACCACACTGGTACGCGTCCATGCCTGGCAAAAGCTCCAGTCCCTCCACGCCCTGAAAGGAGAAGCAGGCAGAAAAAGAAAGGGGGGAATGGCAGCATGTGTCAAGGTCTGGTGCACACCACACTGGTATGCGTCCATGCCTGGCAAAAGCTCCAGTCCTTCCACGCCCTGCAAGGAGAAGCAGGCGGAGGGAGAGTAGGGGGAGTGCATTCAGCATGTACTCAAAGGCAAGTATGAGAGCACTGGTCTGAGCCCATGTGTGAGAGCACTGGCATGCGTCTATTCCTGGCACAAGCTCCAGTCCTTCCATGCCCTGAAACGGCGAGTGCACACGCAAGGGGACGGGGGGAGGCAGAAGCGAAATGGCAGCATGCGTGGGTGAGAGTCTTATGCATGCCACACCCATCGAGCTGGTATTTGAGAAGGTTTTTGAGAATTCTCAAAAACCAGATGGCAGCATGCGTGAGTGAGAGTCTTATGCATGCCACACCCATCGCGGGCCATTCTCAAGACGTCTAAAAATCCGACTCTCGCACACCCCACACACCTAAAGCCATTTGCTACTCACAGCAGCAACAGTAGCCGCAGCTCACACTCACACCTGCCCCTACCCACACTCACAGCGGCGGCGGCGGCAGCAATGGCAGCATCGTCCTCATGTGCCCACTGCCCAGCAGCCCCCTCCCCCCCACCATGCTGAAACTCCCATCTTCCCCAAGCCATACTCACAGCATGCATCTGTCACTCACAGCAGCGGCAGCAGCAGCAATGGCAGCATCGTCCTCATGCGTCCACTGGGCAGCAGCAGCTCCGCCCTCCCCCATATGGGCCAGCGATGGCGGAGGAGCAAAGGGAGTGAAATCCGCCTCACAGAGAGTGGTGTCGCCCTCCACCTGCCCCAGCCTCTCCCACACGACGCCCGGCTGGTTGAGATAGCCCTGATCGGTCACGAGAAGGTAGATGTGGTTGGTGCGCTGTGTGCAGGGAGAGGGAGGGAAGGACAGAAGGGAAGGGAAGGAAGGGAAGGGAGAAAATGGAGTGAGTTGTCGCCCTCCACCTGCCCCAGCCTCTCCCACACGACGCTTGGTTGATTGAGATAGCCCTGATCCGTCACCAGCAAATAGAGGTGGTTGGTGCGGTGGGGCCAACAGGGTGGGGAGAGGGGAGAGGGGAGAGGGTGAAGGCAGGGTGAAAGACTGGTTGAGATAGCCTTGATCAGTGACCATCAGGTAGATGTGGTTGGTGCGCTGGGGGTGAGTAGAAGGGGTGGCAGGGTGGGGTGGCAGGGTGAGGTGGGGATAACAGGGCGGAAGGGGCGGAAGGGAGAGGGAGAAAGAATCTTCCGCCCCGAAGGAGTTGCGGGTGGCAGTGAAAGCAGTCCGCTGAAGCGGATTCACCTAAAATAAGGTCTTTCAACTTGTTCACCTTATAATCACCAAATCACCTTAAAGAGGGTGCTGAAATGGTTGTTGCGAAAGAACACGCAGAGCTGATTTTCCTTCACGCCCTCCTGTAAGCTAAAGAGACTGGCGGAATGGAGTCCAGGGAGGGGCGCGTGGGGGTGGGGGTGCAATGCAAAGAACACCCGTTGATACATGGTAATGGTAATCTCCTTTGTTACAGTGACACATGACGATCACACGTGTTTTGAGACGTCTCAAAACACGCGTGGGGGTGCAATGCAAAAAACACCCGTTGATTCATTCCGCCAGTCTCTTTACGTGGTAATCTCCTTTGTTACAGTGACACATGACGATCACACGGTGGAAAGGTTTTTAAGAAATTCTAAAAGTCACATGACGACGATCCAATGGCTATAAGGAACTGACTTATATTTTGAGTAGAAAATTGCGACAAGGTCAAACACACCCGTGGTAGGTGAGCTGGCTGGCTGTCTCGTTGAGAAACGTGAAGAGAAGTAGAGCTGGGGAGGTGAAAGGAGGCACGGGCAGGGAACAGGGCAGGGAACAGACGGCACAGTGGGGAATTAGGGCAAGGCAACGCGAAGTTGCGTGGGGTGGGTTATAGAATGAACAGATGAGTGGGTTGCTTCGAACTGTCACAGGCAGAGAGAGGGGAATGAGGAGAGGAGAAGAAACCAGAGCAGGGACACAGATACAGATGGTGAGGAGGAGAGGAGATAGAGGAGTGACAAGGAGTTGGGAGCGGTGGTCCGAGGTGACCCTCAACTCACCTTCCCGCACATCATCTCGCATCTCCCCTCCCCCTGCCTTCTCTTTCTGGTCTCCGTTCCCCCTTTCTTCCCTCCTCCTTTCTTCCTCCCCCTCCCCGCCGCCCTCCTTGTCCTCCCTCCCTTGCCCCTCCTCGCCCTTCCTCCCTTGCCCCTCCTCGCCCTTCCTCCCTTGCCCCTCCTCGCCCTTCCTCCCTTGCTCCTCCTCGTCTCTAGCCTTCTCTTCAGCAGGCCTCTCTGGAACAGAAGCAGCGCCACCTCCCTGCCTCGTCTCTGCACCACCCTCTACCCCCTCCAACCCCTCACCACCCTTCCGTCTTCCCTCTGTATCCCTCGCTCTCCCCTCCCCGCTTCTCTCTTCCGCACCAGCACAGGCTCGGGCAACCTCTGAAAGAGGCTCGGAAGATGTACGAGGCTCGGGAGCTGGTGCAGGCTCGGATGAACGAACAGGCTCAGAAGCTGGACGAGGCTCCGAAGCAGCTGGCGCAGGCTTGGAAACTGGTGACGGTTCGGAAAGGAGAAGGGAGGCAAGGGACTCAGCCAGGGCTGCTGCTGTCACTTTCCCCTCCCCCTCCCCCTCATTCCCTGCATCTCCAAGACGTGTTTCCCCCTCCACCTCTCTTCTTCCCTCACTTGGTTTCCCCCCATCCTCCCCCCCACCACTATCTGCGTTTTCCACATCCCCGCCTTCCCCAGCCCCCCCTCCCTCCCTCCCTTCCCCTAATCCCTCCCCACCCCCTACTCCTCCAATCCCCCCTTCCCCGCTTCCCCCTCCCCCTCCCCCTCCCCCGCCCAGCAGGGCAGCAGCAAGGTCAGGGTGGGAGGCCTGCAGGGCGACTAGGCGCTCCACAATGCTGTTGTAAGAGAGAGAGCCCACTGCTGCTGCTGTTGCCGAGTCCTGAGGTAATAGGGTTTAGAGGGTTTGAAGGGGCTTTGGGACTCAACGGCATAGCCTGCAGCGCGACGAGGCGGTCCACAATGCTGTTGTAGGAGAGGGAGCCCACTGCTGCTGCTGTTGCAGAATCCTGCATGGGGTTCAGAGGGTTCAGGGTGACTTTTGAGTCGACTCAAAAGAATCCTGCATAGGGTTCAGAGGGTTCAGGGTGACTTTTGAGTCGACTCAAAAGAATCCTGCATGGGGTTCAGAGGGTTCAGGGTTTGACATATCATCCCCACCATCCTGTGTCATTCTATATTTTCTCTTCCCGTACCTGTGCACCCACCAGCCAGACATGCTCGAGGCTGATGTCCAGAAGGGGGAAGATGGCCCTATGCTGTACCATACCAGACCCAGCATCCCATCCCCATGAAAGCTAGCATGTACCTGTGCGTCCACCAGCCAGCCATGCACGAGGCTGATGTCCAGCAGGTCGAAGATGGCAGCATGCTGCACCATGCTGTGCCATGGCACATAGTCTCACCTCACACACCATCCCCTACCGTACCTGTGCGTCCACCAGCCAGCCATGCACGAGGCTGATGTCCAGCAGGTCGAAGATGGCTGTTTCTGGCGTGAACTCAAATGCATGGATGCTGGGAAGGGGGATGGGGAGGGAGATGGGGAGGGGGATGGGGAGGGGAACACGCAACGAGATGGGGGAGGGGGGCAGAAAGGGGCGGAAGGGGAAAGCTGATGTCCAGCAGGTCGAAGATGGCTGTTTCTGGTGTGAACTGAAATGCATGGATGCTGGTGGATGGGGATGAGGGAGGGGAGGGGACACAGAAGGGAGGGAGTGGGAAAAGGATGAGCGGGGGATGTGTGGTCTATGCGGGAGAGTGATGTGAGGGGCCATGCTGAACCGCACAGAAATCAGCTGAACCTGAGAAACACTTATCCCACAGTATGAATCGCACTCATACCCTGTGAACCGCACAGAACAGCACTGCATACCCCATCGCACCCTGTGTACTGCACAGCATGCCCCGTCTCACCCTGTGAAGCACACCGCACTGCACTGCACTCCCATCTCACCCTGTGCACCGCACAGCACCACACAGCACGCCCCCTCTCACCCTGCACACCGCACTGCTTGCCCCCTTTTACCCTGTGCGCCGCACTGAACCGTACTGCACGCCCCGTCTCACCCTGTGAAGCGCACGTTCACGTCAATCCCCGTGGCGAGGCGCGGCAGCAGAGCCATGAGAAAGAGGCCCTGTGCACAACACTAAACTGCACTGCACTGCACGCCCTGTCTCGCCTTGTGCACCGCATTGCACGCCCCAGCTCACTGTGCGCACCGCACTGTACCCCTTGTCTCACCCTGCGAAGCGCACGTTGATGTAAATCAATCCCTGTGGCGAACAGTCCGCCACGTTTTGCTGCCTGCTGCTCCCATACTCGGAGAGAACAGCCCTGTGCACCGCATTGTACGCCCTATCTAAGCCCCTGCACCGCATTGCACCACAATACACAAGCCCCATCTCACCCTGTGAAGTGCACGTTGACGTCAATCCCCGTGGCGAGGCGCGGCAGCAGGGCCATGCAGTCCGCCACATTCTGCTGGCGGTTGCTCCCATACCCGGGGGAGGGGAGCAGCCCTTTGGACCGCACTGCACCGCACTTTTTGCCCCATCTCACCCTGTGGACCGCATTGTACCGCACAGCACTCCCCTTCTCACCCTGTGAAGCGCACGTTGACGTCAATCCCCGTGGCAAGGCGTGGCAGCAGAGCCATGCAGTCCGCCACGTTCTGCTGCCTGTTGCTTATGTACTCTGCTGAGCGGCCCTGAGAAGGGTGGAAGGAAGGGAATTAAGAGGGAGGGTGACAGTGGGGAGGGAAGGGGTGGAGGAGGTGGGGCGTCACGTTCAAGCAGAGCCATGCAGTCCGCCACGCTCTGCTGTCTCACCTGTCTCACAGTCTCACTAGTCTCACCTGTCTAGGAATTAACTGGAAAATGCCATTACTCTCCTGTCTCACCTCCTCCCCTCTTCCCCCTCCCCGTCCCCACCAACCCCACCGTTTTCCTCCCTCCCCCTGTCCACGCACCTCCATGCCTGTGTTGCTGTCCAACAATCGGTGTGCCACCAGAGACAGCAGGTCTCACTGGGAGATGCCATGCTCTTCCTTTCCTCTCTATTTCCACTCCTTTCACACGTCCCCTCACCTCAACTCCCCTTGCACGCACCTCCATGCCTGTGTTACTGTCCAGCAATTGGTGTGCCACCAGAGACAGCAGGTCCGATTGGGAGATGCCATGTTCTTACCCCCAACTTCCCCCTCACCTCCACTGCCCCTTGCACGCACCTCCACTGCCCCTTGCACGCACCTCCACTGCCCCTTGCACGCACCTCCACTGCCCCTTGCACGCACCTCCATGCCTGTCTTGCTGTCCAGCAGCCGGTGCGCCACCAGCGACAGCAGGTCGGACTGGGAGATGCCATGCTCTTCCCCTCACCTCTTCCCCGCTTCCCCTTCCCATTTCCCTGTCTTTCCTTCCTGTCCACGCACATACCTCCATGCCTGTATTGCTGTCCAACAGTCGGTGCGCCACCAGAGACAGCAGGTCCGACTGGGAGATCTCGGTAGCGCTGGGGCGGAGGGAGATGGCGTTGCGGAGCAGCAGCACGTTGGCTGCAAGGGCACGAAGTGAGAGGGGAATATGGGATAGAAACACGCGCTTTGAGTTAACTAGAAAGAGATTTCAGTAGCGCTGGGGCGGAGGGAGATGGCGTTGCGGAGCAGCAGCACGTTGGCTGCGAGGGAAGGAAGTGAGGGGGGGAGAAAGTGAGGCGGGAATATGGAAACAAGGGAATCTCGGGTTACAAAGTAGCAGCACATTGGCTTGAGGTGAGAGGGGAATGAAGTGAGGCGGGTATAGCAGGTGCGAAGTGCGGGAGGATGCGCTGCTCCAATGGCGAGAGGAGGATGCGGGAAGAGGAGGGGGGTTGTATATAACAGGAATAAGGCCCTCACCAATGCCCAGGAGGGGGCAGGGCCCGTTGTCGTTCTGCATGACAATTGGCACCTGCTGCCGCCCCAGGAACGACACGCGCTTTATCTTGTACCAGCTCTCGGCAGCCTCCCCCCCTCCCCCCTGACCCGCACCCCGTTCCGCCGCCTCCCCTCCCCCGCCATGTCCCTGTCCCTCCCCCTGCCCCTCCCCCTGCCTCTGACCCTGACCCTGACCCTGACCCTGACCCTGACCCTGACCCTGACCCTGACCCTGACCCTGACCCTGACCCTGACCCTGACCCTGACCCTGACCCTGACCCTGACCCTGACCCTGACCCCCACCCGATTGTGTCTCCTCTCCTCCCCTTCCCTCCCCTTCACCCCGCTCCGCCTCCTCTCGCCCCTGATTCCGCCCCTCAGCCTGACCCTGCCCTCCACCCTCTGCCTCCGCCAACGGCAGCGCAGCAGGCGCTGGGGTGCTGGCGGACGACTCCGGGGGAGAAGCGGAATGAGCTGGGGGACTGGCGGAAGGATTTGGTGTAGTGGCGGAAGCTGCTGGGGGAGAGGCGGAAGGATCTGAAGGAGTGGCGGAAGGCGCTGCTGAATCGGCGGAAGGATCTGGGGGATTAACGGTTCCAACGGAAGACTGACGCGCTGTCATGCTCTCATGAGGCGTCTCAACCGTCGCTGCTGGGGGGATGGCAGATGCAGCAGAAGACTGATGCCAGGCCATGACGTCTGCGCCTCCTAACTGAAGCTCTAACTCCTCTATGGCTGCAAATTCAGTGAAGCTCGACCCTCAAGTTCCGGGTCGTCTCAAAGCCTGGCCTCCGTGCCTCCTCACCGAGAAATGAGGCAATAGAAGACACACTAATGTCGCCGCTAGCAGTTACCAGATTCGTTATAACTGGTGATGACGGCTACAAACGGTAGATCCACAATGTTTCGTGTTTCCAATCCGTACGATCATCAATCGGACGGTTTCGAAAGAGAATCGTCCGTTCAGGGACCGGATCCGTCGCGGAGATACGTAACGGAGACGCGCTAACGGGACGATGGAGATACGGAAGAGATACGTCGCACAATGTCAGCTACACTGGCCGCGTTGTAGCAGCACCACAACTGCGTCTCTGGTTCACGCTTGCTGTTATGCAGCCATGATTGCTTGGAGTACAAGAAATACTAAAGGTTACCGGGATTATTTAGAATATAGAGCCTGGAATGCCAGGCGGAAACAAACGGACTGGGACATTGCGCAGACAGCCTGACAAAATTCCCCAGGAAATGACAATTCGCTTCTGGAATCTGTGTGCTTTGTGAATGACTGGGAGGGCGGAGCACCTTGGAAGCGCTGGAGCGAACCAGTTGACCTGGAGATTTGTACGCGTCATTGGAAGAGAGAAGCTCCATGACAAGCCAACAACGAAGAACATCTGAATGTTTAGGGCGACGTCAGGTTATACATTTCTCATGGGTTAACAGTTCTTGTATCGTGGTTCAGGACGGTAAAACACGGTAAAAAGCGGTTCTCAACTTCTACCGCTCTTCACCGTGTTGAAAAGAAATTAACCGCAGTGGGCACACAAAAAAGTTGTACAACCTGACGTCGCCCTTAGGGCGTGTAAAATCGCCTCACATGCAAAATTTGGTAATGGCCGGATTTTCGGCCATTAGGGTACTTAGGGGTTCGGGTATGAGACAGCTCGTTACGTAGGGTTTCAAATGGGTACTCTCGCCAAAACCGCCCGACGGATGGTGGTCGAATTTCTGGGTTCGGCGATTTTACACGCCCTTACAATCACCATTGTACACAACCGCGTCAAACACAACACATTTCGTGACGTGGCCCCCAAGGCAGCCACGGAGCGTGGCACTCGCATAACATCCTGGTTCCCATCCGTCGATCAGTTCTGTACTCTGGTTCGTCGAGTACACCCTGTTTCTCGCTACACTGAACTGTGCCGAACTGGTGGCAAACCTTGTTATCTTTGATTTGCCTGATTGAACCATACCGAAACGTAACTTTACCACTGTTAACCGAGATTTTTCCATCTTGACTTCATTATAACCGAATTCACAATGGCGAGAAAGAGGGTGAAGCACTAAAATAAATAAAAGAGCCATTTTTTCCGCATGGCATGATCGCCTGGAGAACGCCACGCACTTCGTCCGCCGCAACCCCTGCACGCGCTTTGCGCCGCCGCTAGTCCCAGCAGCATCCGACCCGCCTCGCCTCCCCACCGCTCCCCGTCTCTCACGCCATGGCCGCGTGGAGCGCCGGCATTACCGCCGACTTGCTCG